AATTGTATCGCATATTGGTCTATTTGAAATGGGTTCATGCAAAATCTGATGGAACAATTAAAATAAGAAAGGTCTTTTTCTATATGAAAAAACAAAAACAAAAACAACAAGTATACACGAATACATTTTATACGTGACAATGTTTACATGAATCAGCTGTCAAATATGTTATAAAAATGTATTAATTTAATATTACGCGAATGCAGCAGCATACTTTTGATAGAATTCATAATTTAACACTACACTGCAGAGGGACTTTCTGAAAAAGGAATTTAGCTTTTTTTGACCTAAACCTAGGCCCTAGATAAATGTTATACTGTTAAAGAATTTGTACAAAACTAACTTCAAAAACAATGCACACTCCCAAGAATTACTGGATTATTTATAATTCGTAAAAATGGATTTTGGAAGTGAGATCTGCATGCCAGTTAGTTGTCAAGTCTTTACTCTCGTACGTAGAGTTAGACGTAGGCTAGTAGGCCTGGCATAGGAAGCCTGCCTTTTTTCTACACTTTAGGCCTAGCCTAGGCTAGCTTGAATATGGTAAGTATATGCTGTATTATTATTATTATTATTATTATTATTTTATTAATATTATTAGGCCTAGCCTAGGCCTACTTGTTAATGTGTTAGAATAAAAATCTGGCCTATGGCCTATATTTTTAAAAACAAAGAATAAAGTAATCTACCATTAACAAAACATTGTAATATAATATCTTTTTTCAGTTAATGCATCTTGATTACGATTAATATCAGGATCAACGTTTTCACTTCCTTTAAGTTCCGAATCAGCATTTTTTTCGCGCTTTTTTCAGTTCCTTTCAGTTCCGCAAAAAGTTGAACATGGGCAACTGAAAGGAACTCAACTCAACTCAACTCAACTTATGTCGACAAATATGCGCGACTGTCAGTTCCTTTCAGTTGCGGTCAGTTCCGTTCAGTTGCGTTCAGTTCCGGTCAGTTCCTTTCAGTTGCGCGGAGCGCTCATGTCGACGAGTTGAGTTGAGTTGAGTTCCGTGTCGACCTGAGCCTGCCTTAAGCAGGGCCTAGGAATAATATTCCTAGGGAATATCACCTATCAAATGAGATCACGCTTAGTTATCTGGCGAGTATTCATGCGGCAATTAGCAATGATTTTAGTGATGGATTGACAGATAGTTTGAGGAGCAATATTTTGTAGTGCCTTAAAAGTGAGGCAGCCAAGTTGAAACTGATATCTGAGTTGAATAGGAAGAATGTTAGTTTTGGTATTCTCCTTTGTTCCATATTGTTTTAGTTTAGGCATACTCCTTTATCTATATAATGCATTATCTATATGTAATGTTTTGTTGTATATATTGTACTATAAACTTTATGTCGGAATTCATATATAACATGTCCTTTATATTTATATGTTTGACTTTCCTTTTGGACAATAAAGTTATCTAGTATCTTTATACAGTACTTTTCTTCCATTCGTATTGTGAATTCAGATAGTTTTTAACATTTTTATGTTGCCTTATGAATGTTTTTATACCAATAAATAAAAAAATGAAATAAATGAAACAAGTTTATACATATAGTACTATAGCAACTGTTACAGCTTATTTTGTCTATGTTTTTCAGCATCATCTCCATCATTTGATTCCTGTTCAACCAATAACCGATGTATGGCTGGATCAACATGCTACAACAGCTACTACCAAGGCTCAACAGTCCAACAATCAGATCAGTATTCTTGTAAATGCGCAACAGGTTACACAGGGCCGCTATGTCAATTCACTATAGGTATAGTGATTTTCTTTTTGTATGAGGAAGAAAAAATATTTTGATGTGACATTCTAATTCTAATTTGACTGGAGTTTTTTTATCCGTTTTACAGAGTGGTAAAAAAAATGTGTAATCATAAATAATATTTAATCCAGTCCAATTCTGATTCATATTTTCTTTTGTCTTGCTATGTATTTAACTGAAATAAATAGCTTCATCTGGATTGACCACCCTTGCAAAACATTGTTAAAATAAATTAAATTGATTCACGTATGAGAGTGACACATTACAATCATCCCCTTTCAACATTTTATGACAAAAGGCAATCTGGGGTTGAATAATATGGCTTTCAAGTAGGCCATGCTTTAAGACAATGATGATAAAGATGTTGATGGTGTGCTTTAATATAATTATAATTTTCAGCTCAAGTACCTAGTATTGATGTGTGTACTTTGGAAGCAACTACTAGCCCATGTCTTAACTCTGCAACTTGTAACAACATGTACCACAGCCAGTTAACCTCCACTTCAATGCCTGTCTTGAAGTACTGCACATGTACAAGTAACTACATTGGATCACGATGTGAAACATTAGGTATGCCTTTCATCACTTTATTAGGTGATTCAGACAAATCCTCCTTGCTCCAAAGTACTGGAAATGGTCAGCAACTGCAGATCATCACATCATGTCTCTCTTAAAGAGGTTTTCCACTAGGCAAATTTATTTGCACGACACAAAAGGGTTCGCTGTAAAAAAGAAATAGTTGTGCAGGCACGGATCCAAAGGGGGCCCACCCTGCCCAGGTTCCCCCTTTTGCTTGGGAAGTCAAGAAAATAAAAAGGAAAAAGAAATCGCCCAAAAGGAATCAGCTGAAACACAGGGAGAGGCAGATGGAAATTGAACCGGGAACCTAGAGATCTCCATAGTTCAACGCACACACAGTGGCTACCACCAGATTAGCCGACTGAGCTAAGCTGACCACTAATCAATTAATGTATCAGTAAATTTAACTCGAGTATTACAGTTTTCTGCCTTTTTATATTATGCATTTTGAACAACCTTGTATCTTGTATATAATATATCGGTAAATGTCTTTTTAACTCAGAATCCTGCCGAATATTACATTTTTCCACTGTTTTTTATATTATGTATTTCGAAAATAACTTATCTTGCATCTTGATTTATTTTCTTGACAATACCCCTTAAACTTCGAAAAACCAATGATTTATGCAACAAATGTGGTTAATTGTATGCTGTATGCTTTGTTTTGTATTTCAAGTAACATTGGCATAGTTGCTGTTCTTTTTGTGTAGTCAGTAGTAGTATTATTGCCTTAATTTAGAACATGTAATAGTCTGATGTTGGTGGATCATCATGTTATTTGAAAACCTTTAGTGAAATTGGATTATATTTTTTCTCCACAGTTTCATCAAATCCATGTAACAGTTCTCCTTGTCTTAATGGAGGGGCATGTAACAATTTTGTAACATCATACACTTGCACATGTCCAACCTCGTATACTGGCACACGTTGCGAAACACTTGGTAAATACTGATTTAACATTTTTTGTTTAACATGAAGTGAAAATGACAAATTTATCTTCTTGTTTTTGAAATAATTTTGGTTTTATTTCCTTTAATGTTTTTATTGTAAATTCTTTGTAAAATGTTTTGTAAAATTTTGTTTTATATTATTGATTTGCTCTAAATAATGATCACTAACCAATTTATCTCTTATTGAGTCCTTATTATTTGAAAATATTAATATTATTCATGGTTCTCTACATTGGTCTGAAATTTTATTTGCTGAAGCCTTAGCAATAAGAAGATATAAGCCTAGTCTAAACTATGGTCGAGCCTCTAAAGAGCTTGCATTATTCACATAGCATAAGTGCTAACTTGCTTTTGTTCTAAAATAATCATTTGTTTATAACAATGTTATTTTGTTTATCAATTTATCAGAATATCATTTGTCTCCATGTTCCGCCTACCTCTTTCTAATTGGTCAAAATTTATCTTGTATTGATTTTTTGTATGTTTTTCAGTATTTTTGGACTTAAACTATTCATTCTTGACAATGTTCCAATAAAGAACCAAACGTAGAATCAACTATGGCCTCACGTCTGTCATTTTTCAGAGTCACCATACTCATATTCTATTAACTAATTTATGTTGTATAAATGTTAATTACTTTGTTATAGAGAATAGATGTGATATATCAGTAACTGTCTTTTTAACTCAGAATCATGCCATATATTAAAGTTTTCCACTTTTTTTTATATTACGTATTTCAAAAAATAACTTATCTTGCATCTTGATTTATTTTCTTGACAATTCCCCTTAAACACTGGAAAACTAATGATTTATGCAACAAATGTGCTTAATTGTATGCTTTGTTTTGTATTTCAAGTAACATTGGCATAGATGCTGTTCTTTTTGTGTAGTCAGTAGTAGTATTATTGCCTTAATTGAGAACATGTAATAGTCT